TTCTCAACAATATCGGATATTGTCTCAAGCCGACAAAAGACAGATAAAAGCAGTGCAGAACCTCGTATAGAAGTACATTCGTTCATGTTACCACACTTCGGAACAGCATGCAAATGAATAAGTGAATGAAAAAAGTCATCTCAAAGTAGACAAAAGTGTATGGGAGGGGAAAGAACATTAGTGGAAATATCCAACTTTAGAGGGTTTCAAAGGAAGGATACATCTGCATCTACATCTAGGTAATAAAAAAGGAGTGATGTGCATATTTTGCATATGGCTACGAATGTATGTATGCTATCTTCTAAGTGCTTTTTGCAGGTCACATAATGGAAATCAGTGTGAAGCAGCCAAATGGTCACCTCGATTTTCATTGCTTGGATGCAGTTAGTAACATTTTTAGTGGTGCTTTTCCTTGCGATTGGGAGTGGAATGGTAGCGGAAGTTTGGTGAAGTTGTGTGTACAGATTCGACGCATGGTAGTAACAACGTGGGGTAAGCACAGTTGACCACGGTTATAAAAATTCGGGAGTTCCTTGTATTCGTCTGTCGTAAGCAACAACATCGTCAACAATCAACCAGTGCTATTTGCGTGAACGCAGCAGAATCCAACGGACTGTATCATGTGTATGTTAGATGTATTCAAAGCGGTGATGGGTGATACCTTCGAATTCGAGACATTTACCATGGGTTGTCCACAAAGTGAAATATTCGCAGTTAGACGAATGGATAGTAGGCAGCCTTCACGACTATGAGTATTTCATGTGTATAGAGCATTTGGTAGGGAAGTAAAATAACTTATGGTATGTACAATTGTTATGCAAACTCTCAGTCCCTTTGCAAAGCAGTGCCAGTATCTCCCAGAGAAGACGCAGAGTTCATGTTACCACACTTCGAAACAGCATGCAAATGAATGAGTGAATGGAAAAAGTCATTTCTAAGTAGACAAAAGTGTATGGGAGGGGAAAGAACATTAGTGGAAATATCCAATTTTAGAAGACCTCAAAGAGTGGATACATCTGAGGAACTGTGGCCAGTTTTCAGCTAACTCAATATTCATTCCTGCGACGCTAACCAGACACTCCATACCTTCCTACACGACTCACATCAGCCGTCAGAGACTTCATCGACTGGCCAGCTTCAGTCTCCTTCTGGACCAATTCTGACTCAGCTGAAATTGCATGTCGAGGTACGCGGGAACACAACATGCACAACATACGCCTAAGTCACTTCAATAGGTAAACGTAGACAAACTCATAGACAGGCTCGCTTAAAGCACAATGCCCAAGCTCAGCATCACTCACACAGTGGTTCCACCATACACGAATAACCCTAAGAAGATATCACTGATCAAAAAATCTGCAGTCTTTATAGCTTTTACTTTCAACGGCCATATCTCACAGCCATATAACAGGATAGAATGAACTACAAAGTAGTAAACTCGTCATTTAACAGATTGTCGGTTATCTCGACAGTCGGTATCAGAGATAACACAAGTTGGCAAGTGCCGCAAGCACCTGCTGCATGGCATCTTTTCAGGTTAGAGACAGCCTCCTCAAATTCAAAAATAGAAGGAGTAAAATCAGACCAGTCCCAATCAACTTTCGGAGGAATGATGGGCAACTGGAACGTGACTGTAGGCCAGTTGAATGAACTGTGCTTCAAAGTGTTCCGCCCAACGTCTTAACCAGATGTCCGTAGACGCTACCAGGGACCCCTCCTTTCCGGCGATGGTCTCGCTAACAGTCATATTCTTCTTGGCAGTGTTCTTTGTCGACCAAAGTCACTCGAGTGTTACCCAATACTGATGTCTTCCCCATGTATTTCGCTTGAGCACCCGCCACTGTTTGTGATCGTAATGAAGACTATTAGTCAACTTATGTTTAAACAGCTTTGCTCATCTTCTCAGAGGGAGTAGGCTGGAATCAGTCTTCTCGCATCAATCAGTATGGAAATCCACTGACTATTGCTAATCTTTCGATGTAGGTTGCCGACCACCTTCATCGCTACATTTAACATCAGACTGAACATTATATCAAGTTTCATCAGGGAGAGAACTGATATCATGTTCAAGTAGTTGATAAGCTATCTATCCCATATATACGCATTTGACATTAGCATCTTCCATTCGAGCAAAAAGAGGCTTCGCCACTGTGTGTCCTGTAACCAGTGAGGTACCTGCTATTGTTTAATAATAACAGTAATAATAATATTATATATATTATTATTATATATTATTATTATTATTATTATTATTATTATATCTCAACAGTCTGCTATATGTAGCAAAACTGATAGCTTTCAATGGAAAGTATGGAGACTACGAATAGGTATCGGCTAGTCCCACAATCTTTCTCCGTCCTTACTGATCCGTTCCGTTGGATAGTGTATAGATGGTTGTTCACAGGTTTTCAGCCAAAAAGTGCGCCATCTGCTCGACAACTAAATGGAATACCTATACTAGCGAGTCCACCAGATCCAGCCATTGAATACCCCAACACTCGTAATGTGAATTTCGCAGATCCACAGAACTGACTACAGATTCCACAGTTTTAGCAAGAGACGCCTGTTGTCCGATTCGACATAGAGTTTGAACGTTGAAAACTGCAATGCGAAAATGCCATCATGGTTTTAGGAGACTAGGAATGGTGTTTGGCTGGCTTGGATCATTAGCAGTGGTCGCAGGGTGATGGGCTGAGGAAGTTGTAAGAGGCTTGACATGGGTGTCAGCAAGTGAAGGCAAGGAAGGCAACAAGGATAAAGAAAGTGGGTTATGGTTAGTTTGGATTTGTTTACCGCTGGAAACGTGCAGGTCACTGATATTCCCCACAACATGGAAGTTGTTTCTACAAGACATCTGATAGACAAAATGGATTAATTTTGCATGACATCACAGCCCATGAGAAATCTACTTGAGGTCGGTCACACATGAATTGAAATGTGATTGTGCTAACCCCGGGTGAGAAAATCTTTAAAAACTGGCACCATAAGGCCATCTGATAAAAATTTCACTACTTCAGCCATGTCACCAAGAGTTCTCGACCACTGATTCCCATCATCTCGAAGACCACAATCTCCCAACACGACTCGGAACAATAGTAAGAGACTTCATCAACTGGTATCAAGTCTTGGCCTGACCTCCCTGAACCTTCTTCCAACATGATCCAACTTCCCCTAACATGGGACATGGAGGTAGGCAGTGAATCGGCATGCGCAGAACATATCTAGGCCATCTCAGTTAACTAAGGTTCACAATCTGATCGATCGACTTGCCTAGGACCATTTGTTTGGTCTCAACACTGCTCTCAAGATGATTCCACCAAAAGCGAGGAGTGCTGAGAAATCTGAGACGTTACAGCAGACTAGTGCCAGAGCATCACCTTACATTTGACAAGTGCCAAACGAAAGGGAATTTAGGATTACATTGAAATATTCACCGAAAAATGTGAGGAAAGATTTTAAGACAAAGATGTAGAAGGTTGTTTATTATGTGGCAGAATTTGAGTACTGACAGAATTGTATTGGGTATCGACGTTTGAAGGCTTTCTACACAATGAAAGTTACTTTATGAGGTACAGGAGAAAGATCGGTAGTTTAAGACTAAACTTTAATCATCCTCAGAGCAGGAGAAAGTTCACTGTTTAACTAATAACCTCTACCTATGCTCCTTCCACAGGGAAGGGAAGGCCAGTACGAACTGTGGGTCACCCCTGAGAAACACCTTACTGCTGTCACACTCCCAATCAGCCAACAGTGCAACTTCGCCCACGAACCTCCATCAAAAGGTGACTAGCTATCTATACTGTGATGGTAACTACTTTCTGTCTTACCACTATCCAACAGATATTTCTAGCATAGTAGAACCTCAAGGATCAAATACTCACATTAGCACATTTCGATGGACCACTGTGATATACAAACCCGACCACCATGTCAAGGTAGAGGCTATCAGTCGCTTCTCAAGCCATTGAGTTCCGTTATCCATTCGGTTTGCGTGTACAGCTCCCACAGATGCTTATTAAAGACAGCCTTCCTTATCATGCCACGGTGTCGGGTCGTACACAGACAATCTTTTCATTCCTTCTATAGAATCCCAGGGCAGGCGAACATGGCGATTTACGGGAGTTTATGGGATGGCAAGCGTAATACACGTCCAAACAAACGTCACCTCATTTCACAGTCGCCTACGTGGTGTCTTCACTCCATGAGACCAATCCGGCAGTGAAAATAATGATAGGGAACGCTAAGTCGTTGGACATCATTAGCTTGAAGAAGCCACATTTCACAGGATAGCTACCTGCACCAAAGCTATATATGCCCAACTTTTTATATTAAGGTTAGCGAGAAGACAGTGCGAAAGGTGATACAGACTGATGTATACCGCTTCACCTATATATACGGTCATGCAAAGCCATGGCTCATTGGTCTAGGCACTTGAATTCCAACCGATGGGTTACAAATTCGAACTCAACTCTACCTACCCCAAGGTCTGGACAGCTCTCCCACAGTGTGTGACCCACTGCACGAATGCGCGCTAGATCGCTGAGCAGATTTCGACTTTGTTCTATGTACGGTTGGAAATTTCGTTGTTATCACCTCTCACCAACACTCATACAACAATTCAGCTACACAAACTCTTCCATTACTTTCAACCGTTCATTACCAAGGGTGAGTGCAGGGAGAGGTTCTTCTAGGAGCACTTTGACGGTGCGAAGCATATATTATACCTATGGATACCGACCAATAAATGATTAAATACGACCCGATTAGTAAAATGGTATAGTCTGCATACTCAAGATGGAAGTCTTTTACTTGGTAATTTTAGCGTATAGTTGCACGTCAAAGGAAAATTCAGGAAACTGGGTTCATAGAGCTATATCCAAGTTTTTGAGGGGTGAAACGTATCCCCTCAAGGATGATAATGCCGTTCAAGTATCAGACAAGTATGTCGTAGTATGTAACAGAAGTATTTTTAACAGTTGAAATAAAAAGACTGAACTCACTTTTGCATTCAGTCGTTGTCAACCGGTAGAGGAAGTAAAGTATCCGCGGCTTTAATGATCGCGCGATAACAAAATCGTAACTGGTCAGCTGTTTGAATAATACCCATACGACATTTTCTTAATTCAAGAAATAGGTTCCTGATACTGACACCACAGAGAGAATTTCGCTGTTCAATCTAAAACCCCAAAATGAAAAGTATCATATGATGTCAGGCAACACGATATTTGATGTGTACTGGTGAGAAAGTCAATGTAATTTGTTTATGGTTTGGCTCACTCACTTGGGTACTGAATGAATGATGGAGAAAGTATTCAGAAAATCCACAGGATTGAAAAGGTGTTTGAGGTCGCTTTTGTACAACAGATTACACTAACGGTTATGAATATTGCGATACACAGTTCACTTCAGATACTTAAATAAACTGAAATTTAACTAACATACTTCCGTAGAACATTTTGTCAGCACCCAATACCACAACGTAACACAGTTTATAGTCATGAGTTTCGCTAAAAAGTTCAGCATAGTACCAGAAGTCATCCTGTTACAAGCTAAGATGCTTCACCAGTTGAAGATGGCAGTAGAGACATTAGTTAACAATAAAACAATAAGTGCTGAATGTAGTAATAGTTTGGAAGTTCGATAGTGAACAAACTTTTATCAACTGAGTAGCGTTGCGTTTCTGGTTAAATGCCTTTAGTTTAATCATGTTTCGTCTATGAAAACCGAAGCACAAAGAATTTGCCTCTGTAAAACAATGCAATCCAAAAATTGCGTTTACGACGTAGTAGTTAGAATCTGATTACTCACCGCTGCATAAATGCAATCGGACTTTTATCAGGAATACAGGTTTTACTCATATACTGGATTTGTAATTGAAACGAAGTGTAAAAGTGACTTTTTGTAAGATATACAACAGTAGATTTATCATGAATCCTTTTTTAGATACCGGTTAATTATAATCGAAATGAGGGATAATTACATTGCAAGAATTTTATAATTTCATTGTACAAAAGACTGCACTAATTGTCATTATCAGCAGCAAACATCAGAACAGCTAAGGATATCTAAATATCACAGGTGTAAGTAGAAATTCGACTTACCAAATTAAAGCTAGATCTATGAGAACAAATGCTCCTGAGCGTCCAATACCAGCACTACAATGAACAACTGGTGGATAGAGTGGATTATCTAATGCACCTGAGGCTCTTACAGACCAAAGAAAATTCAAAATTGAGCTAGGGGAATTAGGTACTCCGAAATCTGGCCATTTTGTATATTGCATATGTAGGACACGATGAACTTCCTTAGTCTAAAAAATGATTCATAATAATTTGTCGAGGTCTGATGAGAATATGCAACATAAAATTACGTTTACAACTTCAGATTTTATTAAATAGAATACGTCATCCATATGCATATCTACGGAATAGCAATGTCACACTAGGCATGCAATGGCTGATTTATCAAAAGAAAAACAGTCTGTGTCTAAGACGGTTAACAAGTATTTATGCTTGTTAAAAAATTACCTAAAAAGGTAACAATTATAAATGCCAAAAAATTTCAACCTTTGGTGGCAGCGTAAAGTTAGGCTGGCAGTAAAAGGTTAAACATACAATACTTTGGCCCCGGCAGGTCTACTATAACACTGTAAAACAGGACCTCTACAAACTAAGATTAACCTGAGTCTGAGCGTCTGACAATCAGCTGCAGCGAAATGGAAATATCATGTCAGCAACTTCGTTATATTAGTGCCAAATTTCCCGGTACACAGATTGTACCAAGCTTGCATTAAAGTATAAATAACCCACGCAATCTGTGCAGAAGACTGCTGAAAGTGAGTTAACTAGACAGGTTAAACCATTTGGGGTTGCATGCTTTTTAGCTATACTGTACGCGTATCACAGCCAAAGACGAATACCATGTTAAATTAATTTGAAGATACAGGTGTTATATGTATTAGCTTGTGTAGCTAACAGTGATCAAACAGAAATCAGTGTAGAACCTTTCACAAAAGTTACCATGCATCATAACAGCACCAAAAAGGGAAACAAACAGAAACAGTCTGATACCCGTGCTAAACAAAAAGGGATATGAGTGGAAACAATCAGTAAACAAAGGTTAGGTAACTTCTCACGATTTCAACGGTGAAAAGTAAATATATTGACAGAAAAATGACATGATATCACATAGACCCAAGTTGGAGAGCACTGAGGGAAGCTTCCTCATGAAAACCGTACAAATCAACCCAACTAGGTTCGTATGAGTCAGTTAGTAACAGAATGGGATCTGCAATTACTGAGTAATGAATCAACTTGGCCAAGTTTAAAAAGTGGTGTATGTACAAAGTAGATTGTCAGCGACACATTCTTTTATATAGATTTACAGTTGTGTGAAATGTTCAACAAGTGATGATATTTATTCAGTTCAAAGTAAGAGCAGAAAGATACTTCATTAAACTTGAGGTAATAACTAATTCACAATATCTGATATCTCACGCTCGTGCAAGATTTTTGTACTCATGAAAAGAATGATGGTTAACAACCGAATGAAATATTGCGAAAACTCTATTAAGATAAGCAGGTCATTTCTGAAAATATTTATGGTTTTTCGTTAACAATCATGGAGAGTAAAATGGACATGTCAATCAGCCAATATCAAAATAAAGCCCAAAAATAGTGCATACAGTTCAATTTTCTACACCTTAAATCAATGTACGAATAAACCATAAGAAAGTAAAATAGAAGAGAGGGAACTGTAATCAAAAGCTGTTGAAATTCATAAGAGAAGACATGGGGTAGAGCAACTAACGAAATGCGATTTGACTAAGCTGAAGACAACGTGGAGATGCATGAGTGCCACTGAGATCGACTCAGCGCCATTATCACCCAGTTTTCAAACAACTATTTCGACTGTCACGCGGACCCAAAGCCGAAAGTTTACATTTCTTTACATGGCTCAAGCCGATAGTTCCAGATTTTATGAACTGATGTAGATTATCTGGCTGAGGCCCCCGAGAGGATTCTTGGTGACACGGCTGAAGACCAGCCAGTGGCAAGGATTTATTTACCGTTTGGTGTCTTCTAAAGATTGGATATTCGCAATAACCGTTATCTTTATTTATTCTCTCACACAACTTTGATACTTTTCTTCCACCCATTTGTTCTTTGCATGCAATTGTGAAGTATGGCAATTTGAACGGACGCACTTGTGTGAGGGTTTTTAAGTTGATTTTGTTTGCGTGTTTTAATCCGGTCGCCTTTAATCATTTTTAAAGTTACACTTAAATTGGTTAACATTGCGGGTTGCAGTAAACTGTGGACGGATGAGAGACATACCCCAGCATCTTATACTCGAAACTCTACACTTAACCCCTTCATTACTAACGAAGTGGTTGCGCGACACACGTTCAATATTCCTCCGGTGATGATGTCTAGGAGACCTTCCAGGTGCTATACCTTTTATGGGCATACTTTACAGACATAGAGTAGGATAGGGTACTGTGCTAAGAAAAAAAATTGAAACTTAGTCAGCAAGCGTATCTTACGTCAATGGTCACAGCCAACCGGGTCTTGTATCCGCGTCAAGATTTGGTTAGTCACTGAATTATCACGACTGAACCAACTTCTAAAGCAACTGAAGTGGTCAACGAGCCCAACCACTTCATCATTCACTATCAGGTGAGGTATTGACGCAGACCATCCGTGAAGTAATGATTTTCATTTGGCTGTTGAGAGAGATTCCAAAGATGCTTGACTCATAACTCAATATTTGCAAAAAGCTGCGTCTTGTCAGCGTCTTCATCGGCATGCTCTAGGTCTACACGGTTAATCCCAGTAAAGTCAGATGAGGAGAGAGATTTCCATGAGCATATCTAACAAAATTTAATAAGAATGGACAGTGGATATCGATGAAAAGCACTACCAGACGTATGCAACTCACCTGACACCCCTCCATAGGCTCTAACACGACCACAGATGTCCGGATATAGAGCCTTTAGCAGGGTGCTGTACTAACCTGGCATCCATGCCATAAGACCTCTCAGCTGATGGAGTTAAAACCGCCTTCAAGTCATAAATGCTACTAGCATCGGGCACAAGTAGGTGTCTTGTGTTTCAAGATTTTATGGAGGGTGAAGAACTGGTTTACGGATGGATATAAGCCTCTCAAAGATGACATCTACAGTGGCACACGATCTTATCAGTAAAGATTATTCGGAAAAGCCTGCGTTAAAACTTAATATAATTATGTTTGATCACCACTTGATATACACCTCAACGACAAATACCCTGTCTTATTCTTTGAGAAGACTGAATTGTTTCTGCTGTCTAAGCCTTCAAATAATGAAGGCAATAAAAATAGTTACATCACACCTTATTCTAAATCTGTCGTCTACATTTTGGTACTTTTCACTTTGGAACAATAAAGAATTCGGTTTTATAGACAAATAGGTCATATTTCACAAGCCAGAGTCCATAAAAGCTACCAGGACTTTTACTGCCCACCAAGAAATAATTGAATTTAGACAGTCCTAACGTCGCTTGAGATGTGTAGGAGATGAATAGGTAGTTCTTATATGGCCAACATTGGGTATCGAACCAAGATTTATAACTATTCATTGCATCAATTCTAGTTTGTTATTTGTCTGCTACGTACTGCGGAAATTATTGAGGTCCATATGAGTCCTTATAAATTCATAGTTACTTCTGCTAACGTCAGTAGGCTGCAATCCTTTAACGAACACCGATTGATAATAGTTTACTGTATGGCGTTATAACTTTCCTAATTAAAGGTTGCCTTTAAATTAGCAGTGTTAGTCACCCCCATCAACACCACTAGGTTCGTAGTGTATTGATATATAATGAGTAGATATGGTGAGGATCAAACTGGACGTAAGTGCTACTTAGTGTTCATCCTTAAACCAGAATCGTTACCATTACGAAGTCGGAAGTGAGTGATTAACACTTGGAGAAAAGGCTCAGAATTTATATTTTGGAAGCTTCTGACGTAAGTAGTCATAAACATCCAGACCATAGTCGTTAGGAGTGTCTTGAAATAAGTAAAGCGCCAAGTTTGATTTAGTCATTATAAAAGTATGTTTTAAAATATCTTCTCATAATTAATAAGTAGTTATTGTGTGATGAAATTGGCAAAAAATACTGAAAAAAAAATCAGCTTTGCCGGATAGTTTCTAATTTATGCAGTAAAAAGTAAAACACCTACCCACACTGACTATTAATTGGTGTTTTGTTGGAATTGATTTGTTCACTTTTGCAATCAACAAATCTGAACAGTTATATACAAAATGGTGCGCGTTTCACCAACACAACAGGAGGAAAACCTAATGTTAACTCATGACTAAAAAAGCGGTTTTTATAATCATGCAGTTTGTACACAAATGGTACGAAGTATTGTGTACAATTTCTTTGCGAGGAATACTGATAAAATTACCACTTATTCAATGATTAAAATTAGTCACTCAAGAGCTATGAATATTTAATTAAGCATTAATTTACACAAATATTACTATTGAAACCATAGTAGACCTAAAACCATTGGATTTGCTCACCTAGACCACTAACCAGATTACAATTAAAACTTGACTGACTAGAATCAAAATATTGCATATCGATAATACTTAGAAGTTTCATCTCAGCTAATAATTACCGAAATAATAGTCATATGACACTGAAATTCGGTAATGCAACTAAGAATTGGAGATGAGGTGGATAGTGTTGGAAACAGAGCTTGTGTATATTAGGACAGCTGACACATCTTTGCGCATGCCTAAGTATTTCTACTGTTTTCCACAATTTTTTGTGTAATAAGTATGGAGAGAAGCCGTGGAGATCAGATCAGAGGATTTAAATGGTATGTAAAAAAACAAGTAACCTGTGGGCTCTGTGAAGCTCAAAACAAGTCCCTGGATAAAATCTTGAAATGATCAAACCTGATCTTCTTCCTCTCATACATAGAGTAATTACAGCATCACATTTTTCTACGTGGTGAATCCCTCCTTAGTGCCTCTGCCGTATAAACCTTTTGGGTTTTGAAGTAAAATAAAACTAAAAAATTGTCCCTCAAAATTTCGCGAGGACTCAATAGTAGTATTATAAGTCCTCACCCCTAATGCATAGCCGTTAAACGTAGAAAAGACGGTTTTGATCATGTGTTTTCGTAGAATTGCTCCTGTTTGGTGGAATCACCGTGTGAGCAATGTTTAGGTCAGGCGAAGGGTACTAGGTAAGATAGGCAAGTCGATTGATAAGGTTGTGAACCTTCATTGTCTGAGATGGCTTGGAGATGTTCTGCGCATACCGAGTCAACGCCTACCTCGACGTGTCATGAAAGGGGAGGCTGGATTAGGTTGGAAGAGGGTTCAGGGTGGCCACAATAAGAGGTGACGGCAGTCCCTGACCC